TTCTGGCTTGGATTCTATTTAGGCAAAGTGTACTGGCTAACAAGTCTTGCCAACACTTATGGTTAACAGTTTAGCTTAGGAGGAAAGAGGCTAAAGAAATATAGTAAGATTTTCCACCTTGTGATTTTTTTTTAATTAAAAGTGAGGATAGAAATGTCTCCCCCTTCTCTGCAGTTGTCTATCAGAGGGAAAACAAAAATCTCGATCATCAACTGCTGTGCAGAATGTAACTCACAGTCTGACTAAGCCCCTTAAACAGTGAGAACAAAGAACAATGTGTCTTTATGCCATCTTTTCTAAAGGAAAAAAAGAACAAGTCATCTTGTCTGACTCCATCTGTTAAGAGATGTTTCATGGCCTACACACCAAAAAAGAACTTTCTTTCTTTCTCCCCTTTTTTAATAATTCAAGTACTCTATATTGATCTCTTCGTAAACTTGGGAAAGTTTTTCCACGGTTATTAGAATTGTGTTGTTTTTGTTTTGTTTTTTTTAAATTTCCTTTCAAGCTAAACTCCTGGAATTGCTTGGATGACTTGGAAGTTACAAAGGGTTGGGTCTCATTAGGATCTAAATGCAGAAAGTGAGGGAGATGACTTTGAGAGACTTGCATAAGAACCAGAGGTGGTATTCAGCCGGTTTGTACCAATTCAGGCCAACCGGTAGTGGCGACTGCGGGTCCCGCCCACCCACCCTACCCCAACGTAATGCCATCCTATTTAGCCTCATTTTCGAGTCTGAGCGCATGCACAGAAGACATGCACACAAACCGAGCATATGAACATGCGGCAAAATGGTGGTAAGCATATGTGGAACCCACCCCTGATAAGAACTATTATTTGGCAAAAAGGAATGAAATAACAGAATAAGAGAGTTGGAACCTTGTGTTGTGACCTAGGCCCAAGTAAGTAGTAGTCGATGCAAACAGTTCCAAAACAAACAGACGGTAAATGTAATAATTTTAATAATTTTTAAATTTAATTGGGATTTGTATTGTGTTTTTTACTTGGCTGTGCACCGCCCCGAGTCCTTTGGGAGAGGGGCGGTATAGAAATAAAATTATCTATCTATCTATCTATCTATCTATCTATCTATCTATCTATCTATCCTATCTATCTATCTATCATCTATCTATCTATCTATCTATTATCTATCTATCTATCTATCTATCTATCTATCTATCTATCTATCTATTAGGAAAACGGAGAATTAACCCATTCTCAGTGTAGTCCAAACTAAATTAAAACAAACTCTTCATAACACAAATTCTTCAGTCTAATCACCAACCTTGGTATAATTAGGCAAACTGCCAAAGGCTTCTCTTGGCAAAAGTTCAGAAGCAGAAGACACCGACCAGAGATAAGTGCAGCAAGACAAGAACAAGTCTATCAACGTTGTTTTCTGACAAAGAGCCCAAGAACTGTTGCTGGTCTTTTAAGCTTTATGGGAGGGGCCAATCATCTCTTGGCCCTACTCCCGAGTCGTCCTCTTTGCTGTAGCTGCTCTTGCCTTCTGGCAGCTCTTCTCATACGTGCACTAGGAACAGGCTCCTCCTGATCTTCTGCCTCTCTACTGTCAGCCTCTGGAGGCTCTGAAGTCTGCACATCACTCCCCAATGGCCCTGGTCCCATCTCTGCCTCCGATGCAGAGCTCTCATCCGGGCCTTCCCCAGCCTCCAGGACTGGCCCATGTTCTTCCTCAGCCTCATCACTGTCCAACTCCGCTGCCAGATCTGCAGGCTCTTGGGATCTTTGTAGGAAAGCAATTCTCGGCCTCCCTCAGACCGGATCACTGACTCACAAGAAAACACTCGACCAAGGATCAGAGTATCTTGGTTTAATCAATGACAACAGCTCTCGGTAAAGACCGGAATGCAATGCAAGCAAAGATGCGGCTGCTGGGAATCGGCTAAAGAGTCCTTTTATAGGGCAGTCTCTGAGTGCTGACAGTTGGGACGATTCAAAGTTCCTGCAGCCGACAACCCGGACACGTAGCGATGACGTCATCCACACTGGTCCTCGACGAAGCTGTGTGCTTGCAGGGTCTTCTCTATGCCCACGCAATCCTAATAACCACCCGTGCGCATAGACTCCTAGTAGTTATACCTAACCCCTTCACCATCACCCAGTGGGCCCCATCCGCCCCCCCCCCATCAGGTATGCTGTCCATGACGTAGCGGTTGGGGTCATGGTGTTGAGTGCTTCTTGCCGCTCGACAGCAATGTTGCTACATTTGTTTCTTGTCAGCATCTCTTGCTTCTGAACTTCTTGGGGTTTTGCCAAGAAAAGCCTTTGGCAGGGTGCCAAAGAAGACAAAGGTTGGTGATAAGGCTGAAGGACTGTTTATGAAGAATTTGTTTTGGAATTAATTTGGACTAAGCTGAGAATGAAGTAATTCTCAGCTGTTCTAATAAAATATGTTTGTTTAGGACTGATTGTGTCTGGTAATAACTACTTGGGCCTAGGTCACAGCACTCAGCTGCTTACCTTCCATGTGAGCAAAGGTAAGTAGAACAGTGAGGGGGAGGAATCAGCTGTGCTATGCGATTGAGATGAGCTAGAAAGCAGGAAATAAAGGACAGGATAGGGCGGTGGCAGGTGGGTGATCGTCGGTGCTACCAGTTTGCCCGAACTGATCCGAACCAGCTGAATTCCACCTCTGGTCTTCTCTAAGGAATCCTCTCTTCTCATTTGGTGGCCAAAGGATTTAAGCTACAGCATCGATATCTGTCCTTCCAAGGAACAATCAAAGTTTATTTCCTTTAGGATTGACGGATTGGATCTCCTTGCAGTCCAAGGGACTCTCAAGAATCATCCCTAACATGGTCTCCAAGGTGCAGAGCACAGGTCCATGTCTGGTTCCAAACAGAGACAATATCTTACCTGGCCAGGTAGGAAATCTTGGCTGAGAATGTTCTGGATAGGAATAAAGTGGGACCCAGAAGCTTCAGAATTCAATAGGGTCATTCATTTCTCCTTTATCTTTTGGAGCTTCATGACAATGGTTTCTCCATACATACTTCTCACAACATCAGGATCTTCTCCAAGGAATCCCCTCTTCTCACTTGGTGACCGAAGGATTTTTGCTACAGCTTTGATATTTTATTTTATTTTTATTTTATTTGTCAAGAGCGTATTAGATAATAAGTATAAACATAGATTGGATACATAAAATAGATACAAATAGAGGAAATATTAGGACAGGGACAGTAGACATGCTGGTGCTCTTATGCATGCCCCTTACAGACCTCTTAGGAATGGGGTGAGGTCAACAGTAGCCAGTCTTAGGTTAAAATTTTGGGGGTTTTGGGATGAAACCACAGAGTCAGGTGGTGCATTCCAGGCACTGACCACTCTGTTGCTGAAGTCATATTTTCTGCAATCGAGTTTGGAGCAGTTCACTTTAAGTTTGTATCTATTGTGTGATTCAATCTCTTTGCAGTCCAAAGGACTCATGAGCCTTCTCCGACACCACATCTGCTTATTTCCCTTATCTATTTTAATGATGCATCAGAGTTTCCAGCGTTAAAAAAAAAAAGTGGTCTTCCTCCCAGTCCAACTGTTTACATTTTCACCCCAGAAGTTAACATTATCCATTACTAATTCATGAAATCAAGCATGAGTTGATAGTCTACCCAATTAAGCCATTAAAGCTTGGAGCCATACATGGAATCGTGCATTCTCCCACCCCTCCCCCCTCCCCCATTTCAGCTGAATGCTTCTTCTTCAGCACCAATTCATATTTTCCTACCGCGCTTCCTTGCACAATTGAATATTCCAGTTCGGGTTTTTTTGCAACCCGCTCCTTTTGCAACGGGCTCTGGAATAAAATCTAATTAAGGAAAATGTAATCAAACCTGAGAAAGCTGGCAAGGGAGAAAGAGAAAGATGGAGGAAAGAGAGCGAACAGGATTAGTTTCATTTTATCAACTCTAGAAAGGCAGCCAGAGTGGTTTTCAATGAAGATAAATGAAGAATTCCATCATCTCTCTTTGTAGACTTATTTAACCAACAGACTTTCTGCTGAATGATTTGTGATGGGTTTACACAGTGGAAACTAAGTGAGATATATCTAGTCTGCCAAATCCTGGTATTCCTGGGGGTTTCAGATTTAGCACAATAGAACAACGTTCATTATCTCTTTGTTACAGATAATGGATAATAAAATATCCTACCGTACCCAGAGGAGATCCTCATAGAGTCCAAAAACACTCCAATTATACAGGATGTGACTAAGACCTTTTGCCTCTTTTCTCCTATATTTTTTTTCCTCCAAAAAGCGGTTTTAAATTAAAATAAAATAAATTTAAGGTTTCTGAATGCAATAACCATTCGCTGTGTAGCCCTGAATCCTTTCAGTGCATAAATGTGGTTTTTATAGCATTATCCCTTTATATGCTAGTCCCTAGTTCCACCAAATGGTTTTAATTCTTCCTTAACTATAAATTTTAATTCAGCCCCATAAAAACATTGATCTATTCTAAAGAAAAAGACCTTCGTGGCCTCTCAAAAGACTGCACATTTTGTTTTCCCTAAGAGTAGTGAAGTCCTAGATCTGTGTTCTTGAGTTGTGAGTTAATTAAGCATGACCAAGTTAAGTGTGACCAGATGAGTTAGTTAGGCAATATCCAAGTGCCTGGGTTATTGTATTACGATTATTTTCATAGTATTTATTTTATTTTGATTGCAGGGTATTTGTTACTTATTATTTTTCTATTGTGTTATTGAGCGGCGCGGTGGCCTAGAGGTGAAAATGCTTGCCTCCCACTCGGAAGGTTGAGAGTTCAATCCTAGGCAGTGACCGATGTTTCTCTATCAGGGCATAAAAAGAAAATATCTGCTGTGAACGCCGCATAGGCATCAGAAAGGGCATCCAGAAAGTAAACACTCAGCATTTACTAGCTGGAAATGGCCAGTTTTCAGGGCTTGACTGAAATGCACCTCTTTTTTTTTTTTTTTTGCCATTTTTAAAATTTATTTATTTATTTATTTATTTTGTAAGATCTGGTGCGGTATTATTTCATTCGACCAGTTTACAATTTATCCAGGAAGTTATCCAGCATGGGGATGCCTTCTTTCAGCCCTTTCCACTTGCGTGTCTCGCTGACCGCTTGAGAAGGACGGCTGGCACTGTCGAAGGGATCCCCAGGGAGAATCTGCCAGTGATCGAACTGCGGTAAAGCCTGGCCTCCAGTGTTCCTGCACTGCGGGAAAGCCTGGCCTCCGGTGTTGGATCTCAAGTCGGCTGTGAAACTAAAAGTTTCGTTCACAGGCAGGTAGGCCTGGACCACAAACATGGGGGTTCCAGCCATCTGGGACTCTTCAAAAACGTGGCCTCCTTTCCTGTTCAGCACTCCATAAATGCCACCCACTACTTGTTCAGGGCACTGGATCTCCACCAGATAGATTGGCTCCATGAGGTGGGGCTGAGCTGTCAGCATGCAAGCGTAGAGGCACCGCCGGGCTGTGGGGATGATCTGGCCGCTGCCACGGTGGATGGCATCGGCATGCAGGGTGACGTGCAGGGTGAAATGCACTTCCAAACCATCCGTATGAGAGGCGACTAGTGTTTCTCAAACTTGGCAGCTTGAAGATGTGTGGACTTCAATTCCCAGAATTCTCCTGCCAGTATGCGGGCTGGAGAATTCTGGAAGTTGAAATCCACACACATTTTTTTTAAGTTGACAAGGTTGAGAAGCGCTGGATGAAACAATTAAGATGTACTTGCAACCTAAACTGCATGCAAGGATAACACAGAAATTATAGAATGGCCCAGAGGGAGAATGAGGAAAGAATTCAAAATATGGCACTAATTAGGCATACCTATAAATTATTGTGCCTTTCAGTATACAGAAAAAAAAAATACTCTGGATTCTGACAGCCACTCACCACAAAAGAAAAGCTTTAGGCTTTGCTAATTTGCAAACATCAACTCTTAGATAAATGAAGTATTCTGCCACCCATGGGCCAAAAGCAGTGGTGAAATCTGAACCGGTTTGCTACCGGTTTGCTGGCTGCGTATGCGCACCCCATGCCAAGCGTGCACTGCATGCACACATGCGCAGTATGCGGCAAAAGGAGGCTTGGGAAGGTAAGTAGAACAGCAAGGGGGGGGAAATCAGCTGTGGTGTGCGAGCTTGGGAACTTTTTAAAAAACTTTTTTAAAGCATTTTTTACTACCGGTTCTCTGGAACCGGTAGTTAAAAATGCTTTAAAAAGTAAAAAAAAAAAGTTCTGACCATCACACGTTGCTTAGCTGATCTTTGGAACTTTTTACTTTTTTTACTACCGGCTCAGAGAACCTGTAGCATTTTTTACTACCAGTTCGGGCGAACCGGCCTGAACCGGTAGCATTTCACCCCTGGCCAAAAGTCTCTAAAATAGATCCACAGGAAGAATATCTTTTAATCTGAAAACAATATTCAAAGGATTCAACAGGTAATCCTTTTATTTTTTTAAAAATCCTTTAGAAATAATACATTACTAATTCTGTATTAGCATTAACTGTCAAGTGCAAATAACCAGGAACAGGAGTTGAGTTCAAAGCACTAAGTTTATTCTTGCCACCTATAAACAAGAATCTGAGCAACTAATGGTCCAAGCTAAATTGGCGCTAGATAAGGGTCAACTGGAGGTTGTGACAGATTTTATTTTCCTAGGCTCCAAGATCACTGCAGATGGGGACTGCAGCCAAGAAATTAAAAGACGCTTGCTCCTGGGGAGGAAAGCCATGGCAAAGCTAGACAGCATTCTAAAAAGCAGAGACATCACCCTGCCAACAAAAGTGTGTATAGTCAAGGCGATGGTTTTCCCAGTTGCAATGTATGGCTGTGAAAGTTGGATCGTAAGGAAGGCTGAGTGCCAAAGAATTGAGGCCTTTGAACTATGGTGCTGGAGAAGACTCCTGCGAGTCCCTTGGACTGCAAGGCGAACAAACAAGTCAGTCCTAGAGGAGATCAACCTGACTGCTCTTTAGAAGGCCAGATCCTGAAGATGAAACTGAAATAATAGTTTGGCCACCTAATGAGAAGGAAGGACTCACTGGAGAAGAGCCTAAGGCTGGGAAAGATGGAGGGCAAAAGAAAAAGGGGATGATAGAGAATGAGGTGGCTGGATGGAGTCACTGAAGCAGTCGGCGTGAGCTTAAATGGACTTTGGGGGATGGTAGAGGACAGAAAGGCCTGGAGGAACATTGTCCATGGGGTCGCAATGGGTCGGACACGACTTCGCAACTAACAACAACAAAGGGTCAACAGAATTCATGGGGGGGCTGGACTTTGGTCTCCTGTGGCTGTACAATGATTCCAGACTAATGTCACATTTAACTCCACCCTCCTGTTCAGCTCCTATTTTAGCTGTTCAGTGTTTTCTGATCTCAGAAGTTGAGCAGGTTGGAATCTCATTAGTATTAGAATGGGAGACTCCCAAGAAGTATCAGAGGTGTGGTCTACATTCAAAAATTTCCCAGAAAGTAACACCTCAATATTGTTGCTGGACAAAACACATAGATGTGTCATCAAAGCCCGTCAGAAGTCATAGTCACAGAGAGATTTTGTGTTTTCTGCTGCTTCATATAATATGGCAGAGAGATCAAGATGTTTTGGATTTCTGAATCCAACATGAGAGAAATGTTCTACTTATTTAAAGTATTTCCTTGTCATGACATATACACACTCTCTCTTGATATTTACAGTGGAAATAAATCCCTGCATTCTCTTTTCATTTCTTTATTGTTGAGATTGCCGAAGACATCCACACACATAAAATCAAATTACCGCTGTACCTTTAAAGTACCTAAACAACAGAGGACATGATCATGGTGCTACTTTGGGTTCAAGAGCCTTCCAACCTCACAATGGCCTTCTAGAAGTTAATGAAGATCATCCTTTTTGAAGAGCCTTTGGAAAAGGACTATGCACCATCTAGAACTGGATTGTATTAGTCTGTTGTCTATTTCATTGGTATTGTATAAAAGACTGTTGGTTTTTTTTGTTCTTTTGATATATGAATTGGGATGCAGTTATTCGGTCACGTGGATTTTTTTAGCCTAACAAATTTTATGGCATAGAAATGCCCTTGTTGAGAAGATAATAATGAGGAGGAGGATGATGTCAAGATGTTCGAGAAGAAAGAACTCAGAGCCTGCAAAAGAAAAGGAACTATTTTCATACATGTCCAACAAAGAGCAGATGGATAGTTCCTTATCATCTGGTAAAGGAACAGTTAGCCTCCCAAATAAACAGGGACAAATAAATCCAAATGATTCATGGAGATCTTGCCTTAATGAAACAAAATTCATGCGGAAGTGTGAGAAAGCGAGTTTTGCTTATCTGCTTTCCAAATTCTGAATCGTAACCCTTTTCTCCCGCATTAAATATGAGTAATGAAATATGGTATAAATCTTGAGTCCTTGGCTGTGCATTACTGCAGAGGGACTTGACAGATGTTCTCAGGACTTTATCTGCTGGTGAGCTGTTAGCGTGCACGATGATGATCTTCTGGTGTTGCCAGTGTGCACGACTCAAAGCGACGTGATCTTGACAGGCCTCCCTTTTCAGCTGCTGATTTGTATTTAAGAGCTCCATGATGGAAGCGGAGGAAAACGGAGACAATCGCTCTGCTTTGCAAATGATCATACATTATTGATTTTTATTTCCCCGTGATTCTCTTTTAGCCTTGTGCTTTCATGACAGACAAATCAAATCTCCTTTTTCACCCTTGGCTGCAAAACGTTTAGTAATAGTTCCAGGTGAATAATGGGAAGCAAAGAAACAGTTTTGGAATAAACATAAGCCAAGGTAAAGAGTTTATCAATGCTGCAATCTATATTTATCCTCCTTGTTGAGAAAGATATAAGACCTACAGAGTACAATGGAGCACTTACTCGGTGGATGTGTATTCAGGTTTATAATTCCCTATTACTGGATTACAAATCCAACACGATTTGATTAGGGCTAAACATCCTTTCAAATAAACAAAGCAAGGAATATGGGGGATCAAAGAGATCCTGAAGGCCACCTACTCTTGGATCTGTTGAGTCCAAACTTGATGGTTCACATTCCTCTAGCTAGTGCCTATGTAGCCTAGTTGACAAGGACATGGTAAGTGGGGATGAATATGTGAGCGTGTGAGAGAGCAAATGTGGACTCCTTGGTACTCTCTAAACTTGGTTGTTTTCTTGCAGATGTTTCATTACCTGGCTGGACAACATCATCAGTGCTGTCTAGCAAAACAACCAAGCTCAGAGAACACCAAGGTCCCCCCAGTTCAACCCTGAGCTACAACAATCCTCTTCTATTAGAGTAAATGCATATGGTCACCAGTAAGGTTTTGCTACAACTTTGAATCCATCAATTCTTTGTGTATTCCATCAGAAACTTGCATAAGTGAGAGATGATAAACTGCACCTGGGTGCATGTATAACATTTGCCACCAATATGATATGACAAGAATGCAAAAATACAACAAGTTACGTATTGTGGCCCATTGGCGGCCAACCCCTCCAGCAGCCGAATTAGAGGAGGAGGAGGCATGGGAGTCAAGGTCAGCATCAAGGCAACCTGAGAGCTCTGAGGGGGAAGAGCGAATGGAGCTGGCAGAGAGAGAGACAAAGGTGGAGCCTGGGCTGTCCGTCAGCCCTCAGATGGAGAGTCAACAGCCGCCAGGTCTGGAGGTGGCTGATGAGGAAGAGGAGGAATAGCTGGGTCCATTGCCTGACATGTGGATGCGCAGAAGGCAGAGGAGAGGAGAGCAGTGGAAATCTATGAGCTGATCCTTGGGATGGAAGAGCAACCGCTGCTAGCAAAGACCCACCCTAGCTCTGGGGATAAGCTCTGGGCACCTACGATCTGGAACGAGCTCCCCCCGGAGATCCAGAGGATCCCGGATCTGCGCACCTTCTGTCGCGCGCTCAAGATTTTTTTATTTCATCAAGCTGGCCTGGCCTAAATCTTTTCCCCTTTTAAATGTAAATTTTAATTTGTTTTTAAATTATTGGGTATTTTAAATTTGTCTCAGCCAAATTATTTAATTCGTTTTTATTCTATTTTAAATTTTTGTATTTATGTGTTTTATTCTGTGGCTGTTCACGCCCTGAGTCCTTCGGGAGTAGGGCGGTATATAAATCCAATAAAAACAAAAACAAAAACAACAAACAAATAAAAGGCAGGGGGTGGAGATGAATAGATGTGGCAGACAACTATTCATCTTCCAGCCAGATGGACTTGTTAGCCTGAGTTGAGAGAGAAACTTTTTGCCAGAGCTGCCGGCGCTCCTAATAAAGGAATCTTTTGAGTTCACTTCAGAGGGTTTGTCATCTTTGGGGAGCTGGGTGTCAGAACATTAAGATGTATTTTGCTTGTCTCTTCTTTCCTGACAGTAAATTATTTCCTCCTCCGATAAACTAGATAATATTCCTTGCTTTACCAATCGTAGATTTTATTGGCCAAAATAAATCCCCCACCCTTTTTTTTTCTATCTTAGCTTGCGAACCGTTGTGTGTGACAAAATATTCATTCTGGGTTTTACTACGAGTCCGTGGCAGCGCTGAGGAGCAGGGTAACAGTTTTTCCCCCCTATAAAAAGGCAGATGCAACTGTTTCCCATCTATCATCCTGTTAAGGTTCAGAAGACCACAGCTGCACTCAGTCTAGGCAACAATTTACTCAACGGACCTGTGTTGTTCTTAGTTTTCCTCGATCGTCTGTCGATCTGACTGGTTTAATAAGGTGGTAAATTTTACAGCTGGCATTTTGGCAAGCAAAGGTCACCAAAGGCGGGAGAACCATTATGGTGAACAATAACCTGGAATGTCCAGACACTTTATTTATCTAGGTTCTCCCAGGGCCAATAGGTTTTCCCAGCTGTGCTTTATCAGCTGTTGTTATAATTCATTTCCTCTCTTTCTCTTTGCAAGTGGCTAGTTCCGGAGGAGGGGGAAAGTAAATCTTGCCATAGCAGCTCACATTGTTCCTAGAGGCAGGGATTGCATGCCGCCAAACATCTAATAAATAAACAGGCCATATGGGTTGTCATTGGATGATCATTTATAATGACCACCCCTTATATATGACTGTAGAGCTGCAAAATCCGTCACCTTAATAGCTGAGTCCAGCTGTAAGTTCAGCTTTCTGTTACTTAGGAGGTGCCATTTCGAACAAATGCCAAGGTTGCCATTGTTGAGGGTAAGAGGATTCCATGTTCTGCTGGCAATGCTTAGAAAGAATAATAGAATAATTGAGTTGGAATAGATCTTCTGGTCCAACCCCTTGCTCAAGCAGAGACCCTGTACCATTTCAGACAAATGGCTGACCAGTCATTCTAAAAAGCCTCCAGTGATGGAGCATCCACAACTTCTGAAGGCAAGCTGTTCCACTAGTTGATTGTTCTTGCTTGTCTCCTTGGTTAGTTTTCATCCGTTGCTTCTTGTCCTTTGGAGGCGTTTTGGAAAATAGATTGACCCCCCTCTTCTTTGTGGCAGTTCCTCAAATATTGGAACACTCTATCATATTAGAAAGAAGGAAATGAAGGAATGACCCCACTAAAGAAAACATTTAAGAGGAGAATCTGTCCCACCTTGTCAGGCATTTTGAATATCTCTGCTGAGCAGCAGAGATAGGAAGCGATGGTGCAGGGAAAGAAGGAGATGGTGCTTCATCACTGGAAGTTTTCAAAATAGATTGGAGAACTATTTGACCAGGATGGTATAAACCAGGGGTGAAATGCTCCTGGTTCGGACCGGCTCGGGCAAGTAGGTAGCGATGGCGGCGGGCAGTTCGGAGAACTGGTAGCAAAAATCCCTGCCCCCGCCCCCCATGCCCAGCTGAGCCACACGATCATCAGAGCCTTTTTTTCCCTTTTAAATGGCTCTGACGATCCAAGCTCTGACGATCCCAGCTGAGTTGCCTGCCGATCAGGCAACTCAGCTGGGATCGTCAGAGCCTTTTGAAAGCATTTTTTACATGGTTTTACATGTAAAAAATAGTTTTAAAAGTAAAAAAAAAAAATGGCCACGCCCACCCAGTCACATTACCCCCCCACACCAAGCCACGCCCACAGAAGCGGTAGTAACAAATTTTACATTTTATCCCTGGTATAAACCCATGATGGCAAATCTATGGCACTTGTGTTACAGGTGGCATACAGAGCCGTCTCTGCAGGCACATGGGCTGTCGCCCAGCTCAGCTCCTCTGCTCATGTGTATGTGCCTCCCACTGGCCAGTTGATTTTTGGGTCTCTGGCATGGGGGTGGGGCGCAAGTGGGAGATACATGCACATGTGCGGAGGGTCTTGCACTCATGTGTGAGGAGGTCTTGCATGCATGCGCAGGGGAGGCAGAGGGTCTCATGTGCATGTGCAGAGGGTGGGGGGAGTGCAGAGTGAGCGGTGCACCCCGTGCACCAAAACAAGCCGCAGGGGGTGCAGTGTGCCCCCCATGGCCCTTTTTTGGTCCCAGGAGACTTCAGGGAGGTCTGCCAGGCTCAAAACAGGCTGCAGGGGGAGTGCGCATGCACGGGAGGTGGGGGCACAGGGGGCATGTGAAGGTGCGGGGGGGTGGGGAGCATGGGTGTCACATGTGCATGCGCAGGAAGAGCATGGGGGTTGATGTGCACATGCGCGGGGGGGCAGAGGATGCGGGGGTTATTGCACTATGGGTGTCGGGAAACACGCTCCCCCTGCTTTTGGCACGCAACGGCAAAAAGGTTAGCCATCCCTGGTATAACCTATCGTGTCTTGAGCAAGGTGTTCGATTAGAAGGTTTCTTCCAGCTCTATGATTCTATGTTCTAGAAGTGGTGTTCTTCAAGAGACTATCTATGAAGGTTGAATCTTTGTAGGACCTCCATTGCTTCTAGAATTCATCCAAGGTATCTCTTGGATATTTCTTCAGTGTTGAACTTCATCTGATTTGGAAGCAATATAAGCCTGGATAGCTCAGCAGACTAATGCATTGTAATTTAACTCCAGCTGTCTGCAATTAGTAAGTTCGAATCTCGCCAGGCTCAAGGTTGACTCAGCCTTCCATCCTTTCTAAGGTAGGTAAATTGAGGACTCAGTTTGTGGGGGCAATAAGATGACTTTGTATAAAATATACAAAAGTATGAAGGCTATTGCTTAACGCATTGTAAGCCACCCTGAGTCTCCGGAGAAGGGTGGCATATAAATCAAATTAAAAAAAAAAAGAAAAAAGCAGCAACTGACGTAGTACCTAGAAAAACATATTTCCCCCCCCTATAAACATGTGTTATTACCACTTTATAATGCCTTGGTAAAATGACATTTAGAACATTGCATCTGGTTGTAGCCATAATACAAAAGATGTTGAGACTCTAGAAAGAGTGCAGAGAAAAGCAACAAAGATGGAGGCTATAACACATGAGGGGGAATTGGGTATGTCTAGTTTAATGAAAAGAAGGATAAGGGGTGACAGAATAGCAATGTTGCAAGATGTAAGGGGCTGCCCCCAAGAAGAGGGGTTCAAGATTTTCTCGAAAAGCTCCTGGAGGTAGAACAAGAAGAAATGGAGGAAATTAAGTTAAATTAATTTAAATTAAATTAAATTAATGGAGAGAATCAACTTAGGAGCA